ATAGCAGAAACTCATTAGCATATTAGGCCACACCCCTAACAGCACAGCTCATTAGCACATTAGGCCGCACCCCCATGTTACCAGAAGTGTGGTTATCCAGCCACACCCACCTTTTGCTTCTTATTCTGTTTACCCTGTTTGTTGCCAAAACGGTTCCAGGGCTTTTTTTGTAGCAGGAACTCCTTTGCATGTTAGGCCACACACCCCGAATGTAACCAATCCTAATGAGTTCCTGCTGTTGGGTGTGGCCTATTATGCTAATGAGTTCCTGCTGGGCGTGGCCAACTCGGGAGCCAGCAGGAACTCCATTCCTGTGCGTTCCTGCCCAAAAACAGCCCTGCTCAAAACAATATCTCACCTGCCTGTCTGGACTGGCTCCAAAGGTAACTTACAATTTAAAAAACAGCTTTAAAAAGAATGAATTGCAAGCTTAAAGATCCACCAATTAATGGGGTTGCAAGAAGGCTAAACTTTTCTTCTTCTGCTTTGCAGTAATGCTGAAGGGTGGGGCGGGGTGGGTGGGTGGGTGGGTGGTGGACACCTTCTCAGTGGGCCCTGCTGCTGCCCTGGCTGGATTCTTCTGGACTGCACTGATCTGCCTTGGATCTATATCCTGCAAAAGGGCAGGATGTAAAAGCAGCTGCCCAGAAAGGATATGGCAACAGTCATGGGTGGGGACCAGTATTCCCTCTAAGCTGAGTTAGCGTGAGCTAGCTCACAGTTTTTTAGCCTCTGGCTCACACATTTTTGTCTTAGCCCAGGAAGGATGGCTCCTGAGCAAACTAATTTATGCAGTAGCCAAATCGTTCACTCACAACTTTAACGCCAGCGGCTCACAAAGTAGAATTTTTGCTCACAAGACTCCACAGCTTAGAGGAAGCATTGAGGCAAGACAGCCCAGCATCCTCCCTAAACTACACCAGTTTGGCATAGTGGTTAGGAGCGGGGACTCTAATCCGGAAGAACCGGGTTTGATACCTCACTTCTCCACATGCAGCTGCTGGTGTGACCTTGGGTCAGTCACAAGTTCTCTTAGAGCTGTTCTCTCAAGGGCAGTCCTCTAGAGAGCTCTCTCAGCCCCACCTCCCTCACAGGGTGTCTGTTGTGGGGAGGGGGAGGGAAAGGGAGATTGTAAGCCGCTCTGAGACTCCAAGTGAAGGGCGGGGCACAAATCCAGTAAAATACATCTGAGCTCAGCATAGATGTTGCATCACTGGCAATGAAACACGTGGATGAAGTGTGTCAAACGTAGACATGTTAGCCCTCTGCCTACCGGTCTAATCAATACAATTACTAGAAAGCATAATAAAGAAGCTGGGCCTTGCCAGCCAACATCTGTACATACCTAGGGAGGCCTGACTCATGATCTGAGGAAAACTCAAGTAACTACTTGCCTCCGATAAGTTCTAAACTTTTCACGTTCTCTTTATTCTAGAAACTACTATCTAGAGTCTTGAATCTGGATCCTGCTGAGCCACATACATCTTTGCCAGTGGAGCCATCCAGGCGCATGGCTTCATGATTGCTGTTCCTTCTCTTGATGGGACACAGCCCCCCTTGGGGAGAGGCTGTGGCTCAGTGGCAGAGCCTCTACTTGGCATGCAGAAGGTCTCAGGTTCAATCCCTGACATCTCCCATTAAAAGATCTGGCAGGCGGTGACATTGACGACTCCGGCTTGAGACCCTGTAGACCCACAGCCAGTCTGAGTAGACAGTTCTGACTTTGATGGACCAATGGTCTAATTCGGTATAAGGCAGTTTCGTGTGCCTGGAACCTGGGGCTCAAACAACCAAGAGGCTGTTCTGTTCTGTCTGCAAACTTGAAATTGCAGGCTCAAGCGTACCCCTCAGCTTGCTTCGGGAGGTGCAGGAAAGGGAGTGACGATCTTACCTTTTGACCCCCTTTGATTTTGGAGAGTGAAACCAAGTGGACGTCCCTGCCCCTTCCTTGCATGATACCAAGGCTAACTGAGGCTACAACAGCCTGCAATTTGATTTTTTTTAATATAGTGATCATCCTTACTTCAGCACCTGGCAAGCATGTTACCCCACCCCCCAGGACAAATTAAGGATCTTGGGTTACAGTACCCTAGCCTGGTACACTGGTTGCATGGCTGCTGCTTTTTCTTTTGGAAAAAGAGGTGCCCGAATGCTCACGGGGGAAATGAAGTTTTCAATTCTGTATACTGAAAACACCGTGAACTTTTAAAACATTTAAAAAAATATTTTGTCGAACAGGTTCCGGAACCCTGTTCCTGCACATTCCCCCAGGAAAAAAAAGCCCTGGTAGGTGACTGGCAAAGAACCATATCCAAACAGAGAGAGCAGGACTGACCCTCATGTTAAATCTCCCATGGTATGTTAACTCTTGCAGCCCTGCCTGACTGAACAGTTTCTGCTACGTGGACACCTGAAATTTTTAAATGCTGAGAGGTGATATATAATAACCATCTTCAAAGTACTTGAAGGGCTGTCATGTAGAGGATGGTGCGGAGTTATTGCCCCAGAAGGTCTGACCAGAATCAGTGGGTTGAAATTAAATCAAAAGAGTTTTTGGCTAAACATTAGGAAGAGCTTCCTGACAATTAGAGCGGTTCCCCAGTGGAACAGGCTTCCGTGGGAGGTGGTGGGCTCTCCTTCTTGGGAGGTTTTCAAACAGAGGCTAGATGGCTATCTGTCAGCAATGCTGATTCTGTGAACTTAGGCAGATCATGAGAGGGAGGGCAGGAAGGGTTGCATCACTGCTTAGTTCTTGTGGCCCTTTTCTTACGCACCCAGGGGAGTGCTGATTGCCACTTTGGTGTCAGGAAACAATTTTTCACCAGGCCAAATGAAGAACCTGGAGGGTTTTTGTCATCTTCTGGGCGTGGAACAGGGGGTCACTGGGTGTGTGTGTGTGTGGGGGGGTATTTGTGAATTTCCTGCATTGTGCAGGGGGTTGGACTAGATGACCCTGGAGGTCCCTTCCAGCTCTATGATTCCATGATTCCTCTCAACACCAACTCATCCTGGAAAAACAAGCCATGTACGGTATTACCTCAAATGTACACTCTGTTTGAGGAAATGTACTCCTTTACAAAAACATTTAGCTGGACGATAATGTCCCTGGAAAGAGGGAGAGAAACAACAAAACACCAAGCTTGTGATTTTATCTTTTTTTTTTTAATTTGGCATTTTGTTATTTGCATTTATATTAAAGCAAAGTGCATCTTTTTTCTTATTTTTCTTGTTTATACACATTGCACAATACATAAATAATGATGCTTATAAAACGTCTTTATATTTACAAGTAATAATATATTTATATATAACATAAAATACAATTCTTTTCTTTAATAAATTCTCAGGGTTTTTGTTTTTTTTCAGGAGTCTCTTTTTGTCGCTGTGTTTTTTTTTTTAAATTTCCGAAAGCACTTCAATGCTAAAATCCCAACGAGACTGCTTCTCTTGTTCACTTAAACCTTTTTTTTTATATTTAGAAAAATAGCTTATGTTAAGGTCTAAACATGCTCATTGAGCTAAGAACAGTGTAAAACCATCATACGAAGTGTATGAATTCAAGAAGAAAGAAATGAACTGACTGCAAAATTCGGGATGCAAACAGTACTATCGTGACATAGCCCGGAAGAGGCCAGAGGCTTCAAGGAGATAAATACTGAAAATCCTTTTCGTCCTTTGGAGAAGAAAAAAAGAAGAAAAACGGTAACTCTGCATCTTGGATCAATTTGAGAAACGCAGGCCACATACACACCCTTAACAGTTTTTCTTGGCGGCATGGGTGATCGCCAATGCGTGAAACACAGACACCCCCTTTCTAACCTCACACTTTCTTCCGTGCATGAGCCCCTTTTTTTTTCTTCCACGGTGACACAGAGGCGAAGTGCAGAAGCCGCAGGTGTGTGCTGCGGCCAGGGGTGGATTGCAAAGAGGGACAGAGATGGAAAACAAAGGAATTTATTGGCAACGGGGTGGGGTGGGGTGTTTTACGGCATGTGCTCCCCCGAGCTGTCTCTCTGTGCACATGAATGCACGTGGCACACATCTGTTCTTATGCCAGTTGACCGTTAGGGGTTTTCACTGCCCCCCCCCCACAAGGGTCGACTTCCTTCCTACCAGCAAAGGAGCTGGTGCGTCTACAACAAACAATAGCTGGAATGATTCACCATAACGCAGATGATATAGAGCAAGGTGGAGTGGTGCGGAGGGGACGGTGATTCGGGGCAGGCCTCTGACAGCAGTGGACTGATATGAATGATTTAGCACCAAGTAGGTGAGGAACCTGGCATTTGTGTCATTCACTGGATTGGGAAAAAAAGTTATCCTGCAAATTCCTCGTGGGCCACAAGAGCTCCAAAGTGCTTACGGAACTCCACCATCTGCAGTGGCGTCTTCGTTTCTTTCGATGGAGGGAAACCTGGTCTCGGTACACGGTACCCTTTGGTGCATCGAGATCGGTTTCCTCCGCAACGATGAACGGGGGTGGCCCAAGTGCACAAGAACTCTGTATCCAATGGTGCGTGCACGCATACTCCCAGAGCTGTGTTATGTTTGGAAAAGAATTTAAAAAAAACAAAAAACAACCCACCAGAAAATCCTTTGTATCCAAAAGGGGGAGCGATCCGGAAAAACCCAAGTTGCATCCAATTCTACCCACCAGGTTTGGACAATAAGTTAAAGGGGTTGCAAAACGGATCGGTCATGACACACGTTCAAACAAATTCTCATCCACTCCCCCCTCCCCCCAGTGCCTTCTTCTCCCCCTTCTGAGTTATTGGTCGTTCACACTTTTTAAAAGTTTTTTAAAAAAAACTTATCGAAATACCGAAGCCAAAAAAAAAGGAGAGAGAAAGAAAGAAAGAGAAATCTTTCCATAAGCTATTTCTCAAAACAGAAACAAACAAACAAACAAAAAAAAGTTTGCATGAAGAAAAAAGCAAGCACTCAGAAGGAGATATTTTAGCAGCAAAGTAAGTTATAAAATGTCATTGCTGAGAGTCCGGTTCTAGAGTCTCGCGTCATCGGTTATTAAAAATAACCTCTAACCAGCACGGGCAACTGCTGATGAACTGTCTCGTGTAGCACTGGCCCCAGCCCTTGACAAAACTGATCTGAACGGTGAAACCAGTCCACGGCTGCTGCATGAACTCGTGGTCGTTGGGCCGCTGTAAGCTGTACGCCTTCTCATAGTCAAACGCTTTGATGGAAAAGCCCGGGAACACTTTGTGAACCAGTAACGTCCTGGAGTCGGGGTTGTCCAGTGTGGCCGACTTGATGAAGATGGGGTAACTGCTGCGGTTATAAACCCAAACCCCGTCGACTTCCTTCGTCAGCTGGATGCCGTAGCCGATCTTGCTGCGGACTTTTTGAACCAGCTGGCTTTTATTGTCCGAGTTGAGCTGTCCGAGGCAGAAGCCGTTCCCTTGAGGTAGATCATAGAAGATATCCAGGGAGGGCTCTTGGACAGAATATAGCCGACCCACACGTGTCTTTTCTTCCCAGTATGCCACCACGCACCAGTGTGACGGATCCCCCGGCTCTTGAAGAACTTGGGAATCTAGAGGAGAGAAGAAACAAACAGGTGTCAAACCTTGGCATGATACTGCAGCGACAACAAAGCAGCATGCTTAAAACTTCTATGTGTGTGTGTGTATAAAGTGCCGTCGGCCCTGTATTTGGATGGGAGACCACCAAGGAATTCAAGGGTCATAACGGCAGAGGAAAAGTCCAGGTGGTCAGCCATGTCGGTCTGAAGCAGTAGAACAAATTTAGAGTCCGGCGGCACCTTTAAGACCACCAAAGTTTTATTCAAGGTATGAGCTTTCCATGTGCACGCACACTTTTTCAAATACATTGGAATGGTAGGTAAGGTTCAAACTTAAAGACGGGCTGGACATCAAATTAACATGTAAAACGTGATGAAGATGGGCAAAGACAAAACCAGAGAACAAGCTACGGTTATAAGGCCAACAGTTAGTTGTAAAGCAATAAATATGTCAAAATAGCAGATAAATGTGTAAAGGTGTCTTTTCTAATTGTGGGAAGTAAACGGATACTCGGCATCCTCTCCTCTCAGGCGCGGAGGTCGCTTAACAGCATTTTCTTTCTTTCTTTTCTTGCTGCATCCGCCTCTGAATTTGTCCTGACTCTAAATTTGTTCTGACACAGAGGAAAGCAATGGCAAACCACCTCTGCTCTTCCTCTTGCCTTGAAAACCCCACGGGGCGGCCCTAAGTCAGCAGCTACTCGAGGATAATTTGTACACACCCAAAGTGCCGTCAAGGCAAGAGACAAATGGAGGGGGGCAACCCTGGACTTCCCTGGTGGACTCTCATCCAAATGCGAACCGCGGATGACCCTGCATAGCTTCCGAGATCTGGCTAGCCTGGGCCAGGGCAGAACCTCTACAGAACTTCTTTGAACCCAATGATGAGATATATTCGATTGCAGTGCCTCGTTACACGTCAAGACCACGGGCTCCCCACGGGCTGAAGGACGGCTCCTAACTTGGTTGACCAGAGTGGTAGGAGACAGGCCGGATTCCAGAGAAGGGGGTCTGATTCAACTAGCACCACACGGAGACGTCATCCCGTTGCCACATATCTCGACTGTTAACGTGAGTGAAGGATTCACAAAGAACTGGATGAAACACACGGTGAGCCCTCGGCAAACAATGAAACCCAGGTCTAGTAGCGGCGGAACCGTAGCTACGGTGGGGCTATTGAGGGCTCCGCCCCCTTCCTTAAAGGGCCAGCCCCCTTCCTTAAAGGCCCCCCACTTCTTCCTAAAAGGATCCCTTTAAATGCTTTTGGGAAGCAGCAAGGCGTGGCACGTGCCCCTCTCCCTCCCTCCTCCAAAATGAAAGGGCCCTCCAGCTGATTGGCGATCCACATTCTCCCCGCCAATCAGTGGAAGGGCCCTTTAAATCTTGCAGGATGGGAGGGAGAGGGGCGTGCGCTATCCCCCTTCATTATGGCAAATAATGGCAGCCCCACCAGAAAAATATTTGCCCCACAAGCCACAAAATCCTGGCTACAGGCCTGAGTAGTGGATTTGGGCCTGATCTTCACTGTTACCATGACGATTTCCCCCACTGTTACAACTTACTCGATATTCACGGGTAAGTAGTGGGCCCTGTTCATGAATATTGTGGTCAAAGAACTAGCGGAAAACAGCAGACAGCGTATCTATGTGCCACCCGGTATAATCACTTTCTTCCTTCTCCACCCCCCTCCCCAAAGCTAAAACCCTAGATGTCGCTATCCCGTTTAAGCCATGAGTAAATCAATGGCAGATAAACATAATACCAAAAAAAAACCTGCTAATCAGCCGCAGACATCTTTTCCCGATGTCAAATGTGGGTAAGCAGGACTGACAGCTAGGTATCGTATGGACTAACCCGCTGCATACATCAATCTGTTCTTAAAAGCCAATCCCCAGTTTTGTTTCATATAATAAATTCTCCCTCCTCCCATCATTACGAGAGAGAGAGAGAGAGAGAGAGAGAGAGAGAGAGAGAGAGAGAGACATAAAAGGAAAGTTAAACGTCTCGCTTGGTCCAGACAAAAGGGGATGGGCAAAATCGTCTGCTATAATTTACAGGCCCTTATTTACGCCTATAGCCAGATCTCTGGTCATAAATGCTGAAGGACGCAGACGTCAGACTAGCTATAAATCTGATTGAATTGCAGTTAGACTGTGGTTTGTGGTAGCAGGGTGGAGACCGGAAGTCTTGCATTTGTTAGCAAAAAAATGCAGGGGGAGGAGGAAGGGGGGACGCTTCCCCTCTCCTTCTCCACCGAAGCCCTTCCCCTTCTTAACTCTTGTCTTGCTTGCTAGATAGGAGCAAAGACAATTATCTCAGGGCCGGAGGAATACACCTCCAACTGAAGATCCCCCCCCACCCCCCAGGAAAGCTGCAAAGCAACTTGCCTGCCACATTAGCTCCGGGAGGATTGGAACCGGTAAGATCACGGAAGGGTTCGACTGTGCAAGGAAGAAACAGAGGAGAAGAAACGCGGCTTGTTCCCGCCCTCCCAATCTTCCTTTAAAAAACCCCCCATGTTCCCGGTTTCTCAACAGCAGCCACGAGTATATAAAAAACATGTCTGCATTCCAAAACATCCTTTCCAACACCTTTCAACCCGCCTGCGCCTTCGTTCGCGTCTACTTAGAGCCCTGTTACGAGCGCTCCCAACGAAAACAGGGAACTCTGGCCCGTGTGACAACAACAAAAATCCACGTCCAGAGTAAACGTTTGGGCCTGTGGCGCTCAAAACACTTTCTTCCTTCGCGGCACAATAGAATATAAAGGAATTCTAAATAGGATAGAAGGTAGGCAGACAAACAGCTCCCCTCCATGGTGGCTGCCACTAAGGGATGCCAACCTCAAGGTGAGACCCAGGGACCCCCAGAGTTACAGCTCATCTCCGGAGTACCGAGATCAGTTCTCCTGGAGAAAATGGATGCTTTGGAGGGCGGACTCTGCAGCAACATAGCCCACTGAGGTCCTTATCCTCCACAGGCGCCACCCCCAAATCTCCAGGAATTAACCAACCCGGAGCTTGCACCCCCCCCAGCAGCTGGGGGGGGGCAGAACCCTACTTCCACATGACCCAAATCAGGGCTTTTCCTCTTTTTTGGGGGGTATTCACTGGTACTCATTATTGGTACCTTTGGGGGAGCGGTTCTCCCAAGTTCTGAGGGGGTAATTCGTGGAAGTCAGCGCAACCTTACACACAAATATTGGCACCTTTTTTTTAAAACCTAAAAAAGCACCAATCCAAATTATACAAAAATGTCTGCTCGCACATGTGGCCCATGTCAAAGGAGTCCCCCCCCCTTTAGCGTCAAGCAACCGCTACTGAGGGGGTCTCTCTCTGGTGGAGGGGAAGGACCTGCACGCTGCTGGCCACCAATGTGGCCGGCTAACTGCAGCTCTGTGGTGTCCGCCATGCCTTCTGATGTCGCCGGGCCTCCACCTCCCTCCCTCACGCAACTGCCTTTTCTTCTCCGTGCTGCAACAGGCCTACAAAGCCTTTCCAAAACTACCCAGAGTCTTTTTTGACCTGGCAAAATGTATTCTGCTTCCATTCAGCGTTATACTCTGTGTGTGTGTTTTAAAGGGAGGGGGGGAGGATCGTTTCATGCAATTTCCACATTTCGATGCCAGCTAGGAAAATATTTCCTCAGTGGCTTTGAGGCTGCCGCTTAAAAAAGAAGAAGAAGAAGAAGCCGAGCCAAATGTTTAGCGGTTAGAAAGTTAAAAAGTTTACGGCCACTCCCTGGGAGAAGAAAAAGAGGGGGGGAAGTCCTCAAAGAGCGGGAGGGCCGAGTTGGAGAGAGACCCCGATTTTGCCTCTCAGCTCTTTTCCCCCCACACCTTTGCAGCGCCTCACAATACTTTGTTTCATATAACCATCCCACTGAAACCTAGCACCACATTAAAGGGGGGGGGGAGAGAGAGAGCTGACTGAGAGAGAAGGAGGGAGAGAGAAAAGGAGGTTGGAGGGAACTCGTGGATCAAATTACTTTTAACCTCACTTTCCAAAACTACTTCAACATAAGACTTCCAAGGGAGGGGCTGCAGGATGCGAAGGGAGGGCTAGAAAGAGAAGCAAACGTTTCCTCAAGGACTCTTCCCCCCCCCAATCAAAAAAAAGAGGCAAGGGACCAGGCCGAAGGGACGTCTCTGTCTGATCTGGGGCACAAGGAAACTCTCTTTCAGACGGCAGCCACCCCACCGGCGAAGAGAGAGAAGAAAATCCCTCCGAGTGCATTCTTTCCCCTTTCATCTCCTGCACTTCGACAGTCCACCCAGCAATTTTCGAGACAGACGTCAGGGGAAGAGAAGTTTTCAGATTATGTTAATTGCCGGGCCTAGATAAATTGCAGGCTCCTCTCTCGCCTGGTTAAGTGCGCGCCGGAGAGACTTCCCCATTGTGCGTCCCATAAAACGAAGGATTCTACCACATAAAGAGGCTGCCCCCTGACAACCTCGAGAGCCAGATCTCCCTACGTGGGTGGCAGGACCAAAAAGATTATCGGCAGGCTTTGACGAGCCTTCGTGGAGTGGTACCCTGCCATGGCATGTGGATAACCCCCCACAGTAACCTGGTAGGGATGCCAGCCTCCGGGTGGGACCGGGGGGATCCCCTGGAGTTAACACCTCATCTCCAAACTACAGAGGTCAGTTCCCCTGGAGAAAATGGCTGCTTCGGAGCTCTATGGCAGAGTACCCCACTGAGGTCCCCGTCCTCTTCAGGCTCCATCCCCTGCTGGTGGCCAAGGGGAACCTGGCAACCTTATAAACTGGTGATCAGTTAAGTGATGGGGGCGAATATTGCCACCCCCTGCTTCCACTGATCAGGTGTGGTGAAGTTCTCCTCAGTACCTGGCAAGAAACTCTAGGCAACCAGCTTACCAGATGGCTACTGATCACTGTAGTAGGTTACTAGTCATAGGCTACTAGCCCTTACTGTGGACTTGAACCCAGGGAGGCCCAGATTCTAATCTTTGCCCTGCCGCAAAGTTCACTGAAGGGACATCTGCAAGTCG